AAAAGCAGGAAATCCAAAAGCCCGTGTTTGGTGTTGACTGTGCGTGCATACATGCATTCGTGGGTCCGGCATGCACTGTGCACGCCCACATGTGTGTGTCCGGCATGAACTGTGCATGCACGCATGAATTTGTGTGTCCGGCAAGCACAGCCAACCGGAGGATTTGACCACTGCTTTACAGCCTGGGAAAATACCAAACCCCTCTAAAATCATAATTGTTTACATCCACTGCAACTCCCAATGTAAACCCACCACTGTTAAGTGCATAATATAGAATGTAAATCCGTTACAAACGGAGTCTGTATTTATATCTCCTCTGGCTCATTAAAAATAGCTGTTTATTATTGGCTTCCTTTCCCCAGCTGGATTCAGCTTCACTTCAAGCTGTTACTTTCTCTCTCTCTCTCTCTCTCTCTCTCTCTCTCTCTCTCTCTCTCTCTCTCTCTCTCTTTTTTTGCTGGGATTTTATTCAGTGAGCTGAATAATTTTATCACAAATCTACAAGATTTCCTAAGTAATCTTCTCTGCATTCCTCTCCTGCAGAAATTCTCCAGCACAGCCAGGAAACTTATAAACTTGTTTTTTTTTTTTTAAACTTATCTACGTCTGTAAATTTCAAACGGAGAGGATTGCATGAAGCAAGGGAGAAAATTGTTTCGACAACTTGTTTACCACAAGAATGCCAGTAATTGCCAAATTGTTACTCCTTGTTTTTTAAAAACAAAAACCAAAACTTGCACAGACAAAAAGTTTTGTCTAAAGAGCAACCTTATTTCCAATTTTCGAAACAAAATGTGTTTTGTTTTTTTTCCCCCTGACCTCAGAGTTCTTTTACTGAAAGTCTGTATCTTTAGATCAGGGGTCAGCAATCTGCAGCTCGGGAGCCGCATGTGTCTCTTTCAGCCCTCTGCTGCGGCTCAAAATATGCGTCACAACCGCCAATATGTGATACCCGCAGCACATGATTTATTGAGCTTTTCAACCTCCGGTAGGCCAGTCATGGATAAATCCAAGAAAAGTTTCGGAAGAAAACAGAACGTTTCATTCAACTACATATGCTAGTTTTGTGGCCGCTTAAGAAATAATCAGGCACGGGAAGGGTTTTGTGGCTCCCGGTGTTTTCTTTTCTGTGGGAAATGGGTCCAAATAGCTCTTTTGAGTGTTTAAGGTTGCAGACCCCTGCTTTAGATCAATCTCCATCTTCCAGGTTTGAGAGTCCAATTATAAAACAACTACAGGCAGTCCTCGACTTACGACCACAACTGAGCCCAACATTTCTGCTGCTAAGTGAGACATTTGTTAAGTAAATTTTGAATCGCTGCCGTTGTTAACTTAAGTCACACGGTTGTTAAGCAAATCCAGCTTCCCCATTGACTTGGCTTCTTAGGAGGCCGCAAAAGGGGATCACGTGACCCCAGGACACTGCAACCGTCATAAGTATGAGCCAGCGCCTGAATTTTGGTCACGTGACCCTGGGGATGCTGCAACGGTCGTAAGTGTGAAAAACAGTCATAAGTCACTTTTTCCGGTGCCGTTGGAACATCGTACGGTCACTAAATGAACTGCCGGTATCTCTTTCTGCCCTTCAAATTTGCAGGACATAAGGAAACGCAATGACAATTTACGTTCGAATTCATGAAATAAAGTTGTTATAACCGCCTGGAAATACCAAGCACTCTGCTCACAATTCAATTTTTCCCGATTTTTCACAGACTGTTGTTTATCCTAAACTAGCTGGACGCCCAAACTAGAAACTATGTGCTTGGGCTTGATCAATTGACACTTGCAGCCTGAAACATAATGTAGAATGTGTAACTCCGTAGCATCAGAATGTGTTAATATAATGCAACTGGCAGTTGGAACAGAGGGGGAAGGGGAGCAGAATATCCCAGCCCGCAGCATCCATTGGTATTTATCTGGCTAGCATCCTGTCAGTGTGTGAGAGAATTGAGGGGTGTTTGGAAACTCAAACAGTATTGCTGTGTGAACAAGGAGATGACAGGAAGGAGGCTGGGTGTGGCTTAGGTCAACTGTTCTGTAGTAAAGCAGCTTGCTGCTGTGAAAGTAAAACTGAACGTGAAACTCCTCTCCTCTGCTTGTGCTTTGCATTCGGAACAGATTTCTTTTGAGGTAGGGAGGGGGAGTAGAACTCCTTAGTATCAGAGCGTGTTAATAATAATAATATAGGAAATACTAATGCTCTGATGGCCATTTCAAAAAATCCTTTCTTAGCGAGCACCTAGAAGCCAAGAGGAACATACATGGCAAATTTCAAGTTTGTAGGCTTTACAGTTCTGGCGATTTTGTGATTACGGCGTGAGTGGTTTTTGCTTTTATATATATAGATTCCTGTTACCTGATTAAATCTCCTTGTAAAAGCAACAACATTAGGGGCGAGGATGTGTTTTTCTTTTTTATTCCATCCGCAACTTGCAAGTTCCTAGAAAAGATAACGGCATGGTGTTAATAATTTTAAAAAATTGCTCATTTTCATCACAAAAACACAGTGTCAAGAGAAAACAGAAAAGACAAAGAGAAATAAAAAATGCCCCAGCATTATCCTGTGGAATTTAAATGGAGATGCTAAAGGCCTTTACGTTTAGTTATGTCTGCAATATAAGACATGTTCTGTTTTGGCTCAGTTCCCTATTAGACAATGAAGAGTTCAGTTGTAAAGCTAATTACAGGAAGAGCAGCATATTTGCAGAATCAGAACCAAATGGGGCATGAATACAAAACATTCGGCTGCTTCCTATAACCTTTGGCCAATTTTTAGAAGAAAAGAAACACTTAAAAGAAAGTATTTGTAGCTCAGGGCTGAACTGTGGGGTCCTTGGTGCTCTCTGAGCTTGGTGGTTTTCTTGCAGACATTTTCATTGCCCAACTAGATAACATCATCAGTGCTACAAGGGAATGAGGTTGGAGGAGGAGGAGGAGGAGGAGGAGGAGGAGGAGGAGGAGGAGGAAGGGGAAGAGAAGGAAGGGGAAGAGGAGGACGGTGGGGTCCTTGGTGCTCTCTGAGCTTGGTGGTTTTCTTGCAGACATTTCATTGCCCAACTAGATAACATCATCAGTGCTACAAGGGAATGAGGTTGGAGGAGGAGGAGGAGGAGGAGGAGGAGGAGGAAGGGGAGGAGAACGAAGGGGAAGAGGAGGATGGTGGGGTCCTTGGTGCTCTCTGAGCTTGATGGTTTTCTTGTAGACGTTTCATGACCCAACTAGATAACATCATCAGTGCTACAAGGGAATGAGGTTGGAGGAGGAGGAGGAGGAGGAGGAAGGGGAGGAGAAGGAAGGGGAAGAGGAGGACCGTGGGGTCTCTTGGTGTTCTCTGAGCTTGATGGTTTCCTTGCAGACATTTCATTACCCAACTAGGTAACATCATCAGTGCTACAAGGGAATGAGGTTGGAGAGGAGGAGGAGGAGGGGAGGAGGAGGAGGAGGAGGAGGAGGAGGAGGACTGAGGGGTCCTTAATGCTCTCTGAGGCTGGTTCTTTTCTTGCAGATGTTAGATTACCCAAACTAGGTAACATCAAACTGATCACTAGGCTCTGATGATGTTACTTAGTTGGGTCATGAAACGTCCAACCGAGAAAACAACCAATTTCAGAGGGCACCAAGGACCCCCCCCCCACTCAGGAAACCCACTCTGGATTGGACCCAGCCTAAATTGATCGACCTTAAAAAGCAGCATCAACCATGGGCTTTTCCATTTACTTCCAAGAACTTAACATTTCTATTCCCGGTCTAAATGTTAAGGGAGGAGGAGGAGGCGTTTGTGCGAATGGTAGGGAGCCATTCTGAAAGCCAGAGGTGGAGAACCGCAGCCCAAACTCACCTCCGCCGTGTTTTGCATGGGCCAAGGAGAAGCCCCCGCTGGGAGACGGTCGGCTTTATAAATCATATCAAGGCAGGAATAAAATGCCTTCTGGGCCGCCTTTGGTTCGACGTAGCCAAGAATCAGCTACTTCTGCGGCCTCCCGACATATAATTTACAATCTGAAAAGCAACCTTCGCTTGGAAATAAGCGGGCTTTGAGGAGAGCTGCTGGTGCTAACACGCTTTGCACACACAATGCCTTGCACGCCCCTTAGAAAAGCCACGGATATTTCCCCGACCTCCCTCTCCTTTACTGCAAGGAAAGCATCTCAGGAGAAAAGAGATTTATTGCTTATTATCACTCCCTGAGCTATGCAATTCCCTGCCACGTGGGAATTAGCCACTTAAATGAGATTATTTTTTATTTCACCTGCCGTGGGTCTTTTTGTACTGTCAACCCTCGGCTCGGTAATATTTGTGATATGAACACTTCACTAAACAAGACAAGGGTAATGTGGAATAAATTCGCCGAGCTTTTGAACGCTGAGAGACCAGCAGAAATCGTACACGTAAAACCCATTTAAGCTATATATATATATCTATTTTCACTCTATTAAGCTCCTAATGGCTTTTCCGTTACTGCAGGGCGCATCTGGAGTAGAGTGGCAAACCATCTTTTTCCAAACGGTTTTTCTTTTATTTATTTCTGAAACCGAGATAAGGAGAACCTTCCGACGGTCAGCAGAAATTAGATTTGTAGTTTTTATTATGATGCTATCAGGGTCATAATTCTTCCCTCCGCTTCAGTGGCAGGAAAATGCTTTACTGAACACGCCTTCTCTAAGAAGCTGCTAAATTGTCCCAAGATAATGGCAGAGGAGGAGGAGGAAGAGGAGGAGGAGGAGGAAAAGGAGAAGGAGAAGGAGAAGGAGGAGGAGGAGGAGGAGGAGGAGGAGGAGGAGGAGGAGGAGGAGGAGGAGGAGGAGGAGAAGGAGAAGAAGAAGGAGGAGGAGGAGGAGGAGGAGGAGGAGGAGGAGGAGGAGAAGGAGGAGGTTTATTGATATTGCTGTACCAGGAGACGCCAGAGTCGAAAAAGAACTGGGGAAAAAAATCACGAAATATCGTGACCTGGCCATCGAAACAAACATTAGACCAACAATCAAGAGGTAAACAATACCCCAATATGGAACTGAATTGGGTATTTTTACTAATACTAAAAAGCCCAATCAAAGAACCTCCAAGATATTCCCACTAACACTGACAGGGCAAGTCACTAGAATATAAATTGAGAGCAAACCTCACTCCCTACTAGGGCGAAATGAAATGCCTGCGAGAGAACAACTGAGGACCCCACAGTCCTCCTCCTCTTCTCCCTCCCTTCCTTCTCCTCCTCCTTGCAAACCACACTCCTTTTTAGCCCTGATGGTGTTACCTAGTTGGGTCATGAAACATCTACAAGAAAACAGCCAAGGTCAGACAGCACCAAGGACCCCACAATCTTCTCCTTCCCCTTCTCCTCCCTCTCCCTCCCTTCTCCTCCTCCTCCTCCTCCTTGCAAACCTCACTCCTTTCTTAGCACTGATGGTGTTACTTAGTTGGGTCATGAAACGTCTACAAGAAAACAGCCAAGCTCAGGGAGCACCAAGGACCCCACAATCTTCTCCTTCCCCATCTCCTCTTCCTTGCAAACCACACTCCTTTTCTAGCCCTGATGGTGTTACCTAGTTGGGTCATGAAACGTCTACAAGAAAACAGCCAAGCTCAGGGAGCACCAAGGACCCCACAATCTTCTCCTTCCCCTTCTCCTCCTCCTTGCAAACCACACTCCTTTCTAGCCCTGATGGTGTTACCTAGTTGGGTCATGAAACGTCTACAAGAAAACAGCCAAGTTCAGACAGCACCAAGGACCCCACAATCTTCTCCTTCCCCTTCTCCTCCTCTCCCTCCCTCCTTTCTCTCCTCCTCCGTGCAAACCACACTCCTTTCTAGCACTGATGGTGTACTTAGTTGGGTCTGAAACGTCTACAAGAAAACAGCCAAGCTCAGGGAGCACCAAGGACCCCTTCACTTCACAATCTGAGAACACTTCCTTGGATTCCCAAGTGATGTGGGAGCTTCATCGCTGGAAGCTTTCAAGAAGAGACCGGACTGCCATCTGTCAGAAATGGGGTAGCGTCTGCTTGGCCGGTGGGGAGGGCTCGACTAGATGACCTGCAAGGCCCCTTCCAACTCTGCTCATCTGTATCTGTGATAAAACTTTACTTCCCCAAAATATATCCCCTTACAAGAAGCCCTGCATTGCTTAATTCGCGCTGACCCCTTGATCACATGGTTTGAGTCTCCGGAAAAGGGCGGCATATAAATCGAAACAATAAATAAGTAAGTAAGTAAGTAAGTAAGTAAGTAAGTAAGTAAGTAAGTAAGTAAGTAAGTAAGTAAGATATCACCGCTTCAAAAATTCCAATCTCGGGAATAATCCTGCCTAAAAGATAAAGAACCTTTTACTCAAAGCAGAGTTTTAAAATAGCTAGCTGCAAAAGTTAGCAACGTCGTCATCATCAGAAGTCTAATTAGTTTTGGGGACACAGTACATATGTTGCCTATTTAAACAAAAAAACAAAAAAACACAGATTAAACAGTGATATATCAAATGTTCTGGCTACGTTTACCAGAAATTTGAAAGAAAAATAGCCGTTTCTTCTATTTCTCAGGGAATTAACAAAAAAAACAAAAAAAACAAAAAACAGCCTCTGTGTATTACAACATCTGCCATTTTTTTTGTTTTTTTTTTCTTCCCCCTTCCTTCCTTGTCTTCTGCCAAATTTTAGCCGAGCGGCCTGGCCACGTGCAGTCAAACATATGGGACCTATAGAAAGCCTGCTTTAGGAAGCTTGAATGACGGATGTTTTGACAGGCGTCCAGTTGGACAGTCCAAATGGATGTGGCATCTGCTTTCCAGCTCAATTCATCCCGTAAAGGGAAGTCAATCCCGCTACTGCGGGCTACGTAACCGGATAGAGAGGACTACTCGGGTTTTGAAGGACGTGTGAAATTGAAGGTGTGGCTAGTCCAGTTTCAGGCCACGTGCAAACCCAATGAAGGAGCCTTGGTAGTACAGTGGTCTAAAGCAGTGGTCCCCAACCCCCGGTCCGCGGACCGGTGCCGGGCCGAGGAGTACCTGGCACCGGGCCGCGCAGCGGCCGGGGGACATAAACGCTGCAGCGCACGGCCCAGGAGCCTTTGGGCTGCAGCGTTCATGTCCCCCGGCCGCTTTTGCGCACTGGGCCGTGCGCAAAAGCTCCTGGGCCGTGGCCCCACCCCTGCGCGCGCTCAGCGGGCCGCGGCGTTAAAAAGGTTGGGGACCACTGGTCTAAAGCACCCTGTTATTAAGACCAGCTGCCTGCAATTACTGCAGGTTCGAATCTCGCCAAGGCTCAAGGTTGACTCAGCCTTCCATCCTTTCTAAGGTAGGTGAAATGAGGACCCAGTTTGTGGGGGCAATAAGCTGACTTTGTATAAAATATACAAAAAGTATGAAGGCTATTGCTTAACGCATTGTAAGCCGCCCTGAGTCTCCGGAGAAGGGCGGCATATAAATCAAATAAAAAAAAACAAAAACAAAAAAACGAAGCTATGAGGTTTTCCTCTCTTAAGTCAAGGATACTGACTTAAAAACCTCTCTCAAGGTCCCTCCTTAATCCAGCGGTATTTAGACGTTATCGTCACCACTGGATTTCTCGGAGCGGTTTTTTTTTGTGAAATCGCCACCACTCTTCAAGAGGACTGGTTGTGAGGGCAGCGATTTTAATCACGGAAGGTGTAGGGGCTTCCGTGACGTCTAAGAGGATGATGAGTTGTCCTTGGTGTTCTCTGATCTGCTTGTTTGTCTTGCAGACTGATGATGTTGCCTAGTTGGGCCGTACAATGTCTGCAAGAAATCCACCAAGCTCAAAGAGCATCAAGGATCCCACCATCTTCCTCTTCCTCCTCGAAAACCACACTCCTTTTTTTAGCATGGATGGTGTTGCCTAGTTGGGTAATGAAAGATGTTTCATTACCCAACTAGGCAACATCATCAGAGCTACAGGGAGTGGGGTTTGCTCTAGCACTTATTGGTACTTCCCAGTCCCGTCTGGCACTGATGATGTTACCTAGTTGGGTAATGAAACGTCTGGGAGGTACCCCACCAAGTATAGAGAGCATCAAGGATCCCACAGTTCAACCCTGAGCTATAAATCCTCTCTTCCATCAGAATATAACCTGATAGGATATGAATCTCTGTTCTCATTTCTTTTAAAAAAACAAAAACAAAAACCAGTGAGTGAATCTAGAACTGTCTTAACTAACCAGAGCTTAACAGCTCTTTTGTCATAAAAAAAGGCACTTACCTCTGGCTGTATAGCTTTAAATACTGGCATATCCATCAATGTAATCTGACTCTGTCACAAAAATGAAAGGAAGAACGATTATACATTTCGGAAAAAAACGAAGTCTGGCAAGTCCATCGTGGGTCTGTCTAGAAAGCTGCCAGGGTTTCTAAAATAAGACACCCCCTGATAATAAGCCCAATCGGGCTTTTGAGCGCATGGCAATAAGGCCAAGGGCTTATTTCAGGATTCAAAAAAATATAAGACAGGGTCTTACTTTCGGGGAAACACGGTAGGAATTATTTCAATCTTTCTGGAACTCTTTACAGGGAGCCCAGGACGTACGACCACAATTGAACCCAAATAAAACATTTATTATGTGAGTTTTGCCCCATTAGATGACCTTTCTTGCCACAGTTGTTGTGAATCACTGCAGATGTCGTTATTAACATGGTGAGGGGGGGAGGAGAGAGAGAGAGAGAGAGAAAGGGAAGAAGAGAGAGAGGGATAAAGAGGGAGGGAGGAAGAGAGAAACAGGAGAGAGGGAGGAAGGGAGGGAGAACAGAGAGGGAGAGGGAGGAGAAAGAAGGAGGGAGGAGAGGGAGAGGGGGGAGAGAGAGGGAGAAAGAGGGAGGGAAGAGAGAGAGGGAGGAAGGAGAGAGAGGGAGGAAAGACAAAGTGGGAGGGAGAGAAACAGAAGGTGAGGGAGAGAGGGAGAAAGAGAGCGGGAGAGAGAGAGGGAGAAAAGAGAGAGAGAGGGAAGAGAGAGGGAGGGAGGAGACAGTGAGGAAGGAGAGAGGGGGAGGGAGGAGAGAGAAAGAGGGAGAGAAACAGAAGGTGAGGGAGAGAGGAGGAGAGAGGGAGAGATAGAGAAGGAGGGAGGGAGGGAGGAGAGAGCGGGAGAAAGAGGGAGAGAGGGAAGGAGGGAGGAGAGAGGGAGAGCGGGAGGGAGGAAGGAGAGAGAGAGAGAGAGGGAGAGAGGGGGCAGAGAGAGAGAGTGTTGATCTAATGTGTGGAAAACCAACTGACTACAACTAACTAACTAACTAAATAAATAAATAAAATAAATAAAATAATAAATAACTGAGCGGGAACTTATTTTTGTCCTTACGGCTACTACTATTCGGCATAGATCAATACGCAAACCTCTTTTACTTACTGCAAACTCCTCTGGAGTTACTTTTAGCACGTCAAACACGACAGCATCGTAGCTCTTGTGAGCATAGTCCGAACTCCGTCCTTCCAGAGAGTCAGAGCTGCTACTGCCCTAGAAGGAGGGGGGAAAAAAGGAAGGAAGGAAAGAAAGGCTTCATTTATTTCAATTTCTGCTTTATTTTATTCGCTGCCCAGTTTCGAAGCGACTCCGGGCGGCTTGCAAGCCTGAAGACATTAAAATAATCGGTGATAAAATATTCCTAAGACAATGAAGTAACGAAGTATTAACTGACATGGGGATCATTTTTGTAGATCTCGTTCTTTTCTACGTGTTTCACTTTTCTTCTTTATACTGTGACTGCTAGTCTAATAGCAAATCCTTCATAAAAGTCATTGCATTACATTCTTGATTAAATTATCTTTCCCTTGATATATAATTTTATGGGACTACTCCAAAAAAAAAAAAAAAAAAAGTGGTGTTATTAGCTAGTTTTAGAAAATACACTTTTTCCCAAAAGGTTTCCACAATTTTGGCCACTACTGTATATACCAGGAAGATTTTCCATAGCATCTCTTGATGCTTTTGCTTTTGAAGCTCAAAATGCAAAAAAATGCATATCATTGGAAGAGGTTATTAAGGCAACTGTATCCAATATTCCTTTCTGTGCAAGAATCCAAGTGAAAGCATTGAGGACAGACGGAAAGCCAACGAAGAGAAAGAAAATAATAAATTGCCCTCCATAACATCTCTCGGTTACCAATGAACCGAAGAACACAATTTATCCCCTCCTGCTTCCAACTACGAGACTTGTTTTTTCTCAAATGTAAAAGAATTTATCAGAATTTATTTAGAGATATTTGCTCTCTAAAGTTTGAAAATAGAACAGAGGCAATCCTGCAATCTGCTCTGTGCAATTTCTCTCTGTGGCCGGAGGAGAAAGTCCACGGAGCTACTGACAAATTATGTCAGTTTTACAACTACCGTGTTTCCCCGAAAATAAGACCCTGTCTTATATTTTTTTGAACCCTGAAATAAGCACTTGGTCTTATTGCCATGTGCGTCAAAAGCTCGATTGGGCTTATTATCAGGGAATAGTCTTATTTTGGGGGAAACAGGGTAGGTAGGTAGGTAGGTAGGTAGGTAGGTAGGTAGATAGATAGATAGATAGATAGATAGATAGATAGATAGAAAGAAAGAAAGAAAGAAAGTAGACAGTAGATAGATAGATATGATAGATACCGTGTTTCCCCGAAAATAAGACCCTGTCTTATATTTTTTTGAACCCTGAAATAAGTGCTTGGTCTTATTGCCATGTGCTCAAAAGCTCGATTGGGCTTATTATCAGGGGATGTCTTATTTTGGGGAAAACAGGGTAGGTAGGTAGGTAGGTAGGTAGATAGATAGATAGATAGATAGATAGATAGATAGATAGAAACATATGGATGGATGGATGGATGGATAGAAGGGAGGGATAGATAGAAAGAATGAAAGAACGAAAGAACGAAAGAAAGTAGACAGTAGATAGATAGATATGATAGATACCATGTTTCCCTGAAAATAAGACCCTGTCTTATTTTTTGAACCCTGAAATAAGCGCTTGGTCTTATTGCCATGTACTCAAAAGCTCGATTGGGCTTATTATCAGGGGATGTCTTATTTTGGGGGAAACAGGGTAGTTCAACCTTAAGGAGTTTGGTCGAAGCTATCAGGGATAAAGGTAATTGGTGAAGCATTAACAGTGCAAATGGGGGCAAAAATGTATCCCAATCTAAACCCTAATTGCTGGAAATGTAAAAAAGGTACCCGTTTTCATGTATGGTGGCTTTGCCCAGAAATCAAAAAAATACCGGATTAAAATACAAAAATGGCTAAATGAAATTATGCACTGCCAAATAGAATTGAAGCCTGAACTGTTTCTTCTGGGGATCATTAAAGGAAAATATCCTAAAAAGATTAAATATCTGATCATTCATATCACTACAGCAGCGAGAATTGTACTCGCACAAGCTTGGAAAATGTCCACTATACTGACAGATTGTGTAATAATCCGGAAAATTTTTGAGTGTGCAGAAATGGACAAACTTACTATAGAATTAAATAATAAGGAAGACTCGGAATATTACTCAACTTGGAAAATTGATATCAATGGATAGAAAATAAAAATAGGAAATATATGGATCAAAATAAGACATAAATTGTGTTTACATATCCTTGATTGTAGGAATATCTGGGAATATATGATTAGAATTAAGATTTGTACTGTCAGAACGACGTTGAATTGTACAATTATTATGGACGTATTTTTGTTACAGATGTATTTGTATATTAATATTTGAAACTTTAATAAAGGTTTTTTGAAGAAAAAAACAACGCAAATGGGGGATAAAAAAAAAACTGATCAAGATTTATTTGCAAAAATATTATTAAATAAGGGCAGGGGGGAGAAATGGATGGGGCGATGTGTTCAGATCTTGCCAGGCACAGTTTAAAAGCAAAGTTGCAATCCTAGATAGGTTAACTAAGAAGCAGATGTACTTTGCTATTATTCTTCTCATCCTTCCTATCGCCTATCTCCTTCTACTTATGACTATAACCTTGTTGCTTGCATCTTTACGATTTATATTAGAATAGAATAGAATAACAAGAGTTGGAAGGGACCTTGGGAGGTCTTCTAGTCCAACCCCCTGCCCAGACAGGAAACCCTACACCACTTCAGACAAATGGTTATACAACCTCTTCTTAAAAATTTCCAGTGTTGGAGCATTTACAACTTCTGGAGGCAAGTTGTTCCACCGGTCAATTGTTCTCACTGTCAGGAAATTTCGCCTTAGTTCTAGGTTGCTTCTCTCCTTGATTAGTTTCCACCCATTGCTTCTTGTCCTGCTTTGGAGAATAGCTTGAATCCCTCTTCTTTGGGACAACTCCTGAGATAATGGAAGACTGCTATCATGTCTCCCCTGGTCCTTCTCTTCATTAAACTAGACATACCCAGTTCCTGCAACCGTTCTTCATATGTTTTAACCTCTAGTCTCTTATTGTTTTATTTAGTTTCCTAGTATGATTTGATTGCTTAGTTTAGTATCTTATGACTATCACTAAGTGTTGTATCTTATGATTCTTGATTAATGTATTTTTTTTATGTACACTGAGAGCTTATGCACCGAAGACAAATTCCTTGTGTGTCCAATCACACTTGGCCAATAAAGAATTCTATTCTATTCTATTCTATTTAAAAATCAGATCTCCTAAAGATTGCACAGTGTTCAATCACCTCCAAAACAATTCGATCGTTCTAGCTGTAGGAACGCCACAACATCAACAATCCCAGCTATTTATAAGTGTATTGTCTGAAAAATCACCCAGTGAAACGGAATAGAAAGAAACTGTAACGTCGTGAATATGTATGCAGAAGAATTCTGCCCTGCTTTGAAACCGAGATATTCGAAACTGATGCTCGAACCAGGCCGAGACTGCAGTCTTAGGAACAGTTTATCTTTGAACTGCTTATGTGTGACAGCTGTCTACTTTTGAACAAACATGGGAAGAATTTCTCTGTGATGAAGAAAAAGGGTTCAGTAAATTATTTCCATCTGCAAGACATTAGATGTTAATTGCTATAACTCAAGTGTGTAAAAACAACAGTAGACGTTTCCTAAACGAATTTGTGGCCTAAAAGACTGGACACCATATGATAACTATCAGGAGGAGGAGGAGGAAGAGGAAGAGGAAGAGGAGGACAGAAAAGAAGAAAAAGGAGGAGGAGGAGGGGAAGAAGAGGAAGAGGGAGGAGGAGGAGGAAGAGGAGGAGGAGAAGGAAGGAAGAAAAAGGAGGAGAAAGAGAAAGAAAGAGAAGAAGAAAAAGGAGGAGGAGGAGGAGAAGGAAGGAAGAAAAAGGAGGAGAAAGAAAGAAAGAAAAGAAAAAGGAGGAGGAGGACAGAAAAGAAGAAGAAGGAGGAGGAGGAGGGGAAAGAGGAAGAGGGAGGAGGAGGAGGAAGAGGAGGAGGAGGAAGGAAGAAAAAGGAGGAGGAGAGAAAGAGAAAGAAAGAGAAGAAGAAAAAGGAGGAGGAAGAGGGGGAAGGAGGAAGAGAGGAGAGAGGAGAGGGAGGAAGAGGAGAAAGAAAGAAAAGAAGAAAAAGGAGGAGGAGGAGGAGGAGGAGAAAGAGGAGGCGAAGGAAGGAAGAAAAAGGAGGAGAAAGAAAGAAAGAGAAGAAGAAAAAGGAGGAGGAGGACAGAAAAGAAGAAAAAGGAGGAGGAGGAGGGGAAAGAGGAAGGGGAGGAGGAGGAAGAGGAGGAGAGGAGAAGGAAGGAAGAAAGAAAAAGGAGGAGGAGAAAGAGAAAGAAAGAGAAGAAGAAAAAGGAGGAGGAAGAGGGGAAGAGAGGAAGAGAGGAAGAGGAAGAGGGAGGAGGGAAGAGGAGGAGGAGAAAGAGAAAGAAGGAAGGAAGGAAAAGGAGGAGAAAGAGAAAGAAAGAGAAGAAGAAAAAGGAGGAGGAGGAAGACTGCAATGTATTTTACAAGACTTACAAATCTGCATAGATGAAACAAATCACGGCCATGATCATAATCCTAAACTAAAAAAAAAAAAAAAAAGAATTCCCCTTAAAAACCCTTTCCACTTGTAAATGTTTAAGAAGCGATCAGCAAGCAGCATGTGTAAATTTGTTGATTAAATAAATATTTGGTTTAATCCCCACACGGCTATCCACGAAAGGGATGAGGTTGCCCAGATGAGGAACACGCTCTCTTCCATTAACTCAACTCCCAAGAACCACCACACAATGTTTCCCACCCACCCAGCCAACATCTGGAGTTGTTTCACAGCTGTGCGATTCTGCTAGTTTAGCTCATCTGAAAGCTGTTTGCAGTTCGGCTTTTAAAACTGTCACTGAAAAGGCCTTCTTGACAGTACGTGAGAAGGCAGGAAATCCTTTCTGAGTCCTTAGGTGGATCCTGTTCACTTAGGAGGAAATATTTTAAGCACGTGGAAAATCTATTCTCCATGACGGAAGGCATTAAATAGTGAACCTTCCTTCAAGGAAACATCACTTCAGGAACATGGCTGGGATTCGGCTAAATCGAGAAAGGGTAGTACCGGAGGTTAAATTCTTCTAGTCCCTAATTTTTATTTTAGTTATAAACCTATTCTCCGACTTTTAACGAATTTTAATTGTGGAATCCTTGGTGCTCTCTAAGCAGGGGTGAAATGCTCCCGGTTCAGTCCGGTTCGCCCGAACCGGTAGTAAAAAAGGCTACTGGTTCGCCGAACCGATAGTAAAAAATGTAAAAAAAAAAAAGTTTAGACGATCAGCTGAGCGACGCGCGATCATCGTCGAAACTTTTTTTTTTTAATTTTACTTTTTTAGCATTTTTTTACAATCTGTTCGGGTGAATAAGTTGTTAAAAAATGCTTTTAAAAGTAAAAAAAAAAAGCTCTGAAGATCGCACGCCACAGCTTTTGGCGTGCAGCGCACATGCATAGCCAGCGAACCGGTAGTAAACCGGTTCAGATTTCACCACTGCCTCTGAGCTTCTTGCAGACGTTTCATTACCAAACTAGGTAACGTCATCAGGGTTTGTAGGGAGTGGGGTTTGCTCTCCCTATTAGCACTTTGCAAGCCCATTAAAGACGGTTGGAACAGTAGTTTACAAATGTAATCATTCTGCGTACAGCACGACTTCTTAAATCATCTTGATGACATTCATTATTAGACAGTCTCCTAAGAGATGCCCAACTAAACTATGGTTTGTTCCGAGTCGGGATGGAAACTGTTACCTCTGGAGTGGCGGAGGTCACAGTCACATTGGCCATGAGGCCATTCCTTTTATACATTCTCTTCTTGGAACACAGGAACTTCGGCTCAGCCACCACTGCTGATGTTATAGGTTGAAGGGAGAACTGCTGGAAGATCAATAAGAAGCTGACTTTAGAAACGCCGCCCATCGAAAGATAACGACAAGGACTGAGGAGGGAGCAAACAGTTGTGAACTGTGGAGGAGGAGGACAGAAAAGAAGAAAAAGGAGGAGGGGAAGGAGAGGAAGAGTAAGAGGGAGGAGGAGGACAGAAAAGGAGGAAAGAAAGAGAAAGAAGGAGAAGAAGAAAAAGGAGAAGGAGGAGGAGGAGGAGGAAAAGGAAAAGAAGGTGATGATGATAGAGGAGATGATGATAGAGAAGGAGGAGAAGGAGAAGAAGATGATGAAGATAGAGGAGAAGGAGGAAGAGGAGGAGATAATGATGATAGAAGAAGAGGAGGAGGAGAAGATGATGAAGATAGAGGAGAAGGAGGAGCGGAAGAAGAAGAAGAAAGAGGAGGAGCGGAAGGAGAAAAAGGAGCAGAAGGAGAAAAAGGAGGAGGAGAAGGAGGAGTGGAAGAAGAAAGAGGAGAAGGAGGAGGAGGAATAGAAGAAGAAAGAGGAGGAGGAGGAGGAGAAGAGGAAGAAGGAGAAGGAGGAGAAGAAGAAGGAGGAGGAGAAGAAGAAGAAGAAGGAGGAGGAGGAGAAGAAGAAGAAGAAGAAGAAGAAGAAGAAGAAGAAGAAGAAGAAGAAGTAGTAGTTTCATAACCAATATGTACAGCTATATAAAACCTAAGCAACATGAAACTGCCTATAAAAACTAAGAACAATTTAAGCCGCGCATCAGCCAAAGCCCACCCGTTTTTGCTTTTCATTTTGTTTGCTTTTTTACATTTCCTTAAGATCGTCTAAGCACATTATTCCTCCAGATTTGAATTTCAACGACACAGAGACCGTGCAACTGTCTGACGACAAAGTCCGTTCGAGCTTCCAAGGAGGCATCCCAGACCTATTGGGTCGAACACAATTCTGAGCCCCGAGATTAGAATCCTGGTCCATTTTAACCGAGGGACAAAGTGGGGAGGGTTTTTTTTTTTTTAGTGGTGAGAGCAGCACCTCGTTGGGAGCTTGAAGACTAAGCAGGATCAGACATGTTTGGGAGACCTCCGTGGAACATCGGGGCCGGAGGCTAGATTGGCAAACCGTTTGGTCGGGCTGCCAAGAAAATGACAGGGAGGTACCCACCGCAAAGTCATCTGAGATCAAATGAAGACTTGTGGGAAGACCTTACTGATGGGAGTATGGGGTTACAGAACTGTCAGCCCCAAATTTCACAAAAAGGGTGGGTGGTAACATCAAAAGTAAAAGGGACTCAGGGGTGGCTCAGGGGCTAAGACGCTGAGCTTGTCGATCGAAAGTTGTCGGCAGTTCGGCGGTTCGAATCCGTAGTGTCGCGTAATGGGGTGAGCTCCCCTTACTTGTCTCAGCTTCTGCCAACCTAGCAGTTCGAAAGCACATAAAAAATGCAAGTAGAAAAAATAGGGACCACCTTTGGTGGGAAGGTAACAGCGTTCCGTGCGCCTTTGGCGTTGAGTCATGCCGGCCACGTGACCACGGAGACGTCTTCGGACAGCCCTGGCTCTTCGGCTTTGAAACGGAGATGAGCACCGCCCCCTAGAGTCGGGAACGACTAGCACGTATGTGCGAGGGGAACCTTTACCTTTAACATCAAAAGTAACATCGCGCAGGTATTCTTGAAAGCCTATGCAAAGGCGAGGATCGGTGATCGGTTATCGGTTAAGCAGAATAATGGAGTTAAAAGGGACCTTGGAGGTCTTCTAGTCCAACCCCCTGCCTCAGACAGGAGTGTATCACTGCAGACAAGTGGCTGTCCAGTCTCTTTTTAAAAGCCTCCAGTGTTGGAGCATTCACAACTTCTGGAGGCCAGTTGTTCCACTGGTTAATTGTTCTGTCAGGAAATTTCTCCTTAGTTCTAAGTTGCGTCTCTCCTTGATTAGTTTCCACCCATTTCTTCTTGTCTTGCCCTCGGGTGCTTTGGAGAATAGTTTGACTCCCTCTTCTTTGGGGCAGCCCCTCAAATATTGGAAGGCTGCTATCATGTCTCCCCTGGTCCTTCTTTTTGTTAAACTAGACATACCCAGTTCCTGCAACTCTTTTAGCCTCCAGCCCCCTAATCACCTTTGTTGCTCTTCTCTGCCCAAGACCTTCAGATGAGATGAAGTTGGCAGAGTCAAGGGCATAGATCCGTGATGGCGAACCTGTGGCACGCAGAACCCTCTCTGTGACCATGCCAGCCGTCGCCCCAGCCCAGCTCCACCGCGCATGCGCACGTGCCTCCTGCTGGCCATGGGGTCTCTGCATCGCATGCACAGGGGGGCCCCACATGCACGGGAGGTGCAGTTTGGTGCAGGAAGCTTTCCAGGCCTTGCATGGCAGCCCCGCACCGTTTTGGCTTCCAGGTTGGTGCAGGCTTTCCAGGCCCAAAAGGGGGCACGGGGGGAACGGGGCGCATGCACGGGGGGGCAGAATGTATGCGCTGGGGGGGGGGGCACATGCACAGGAGGCACTTGCATTGCATTTGGGGGTTCGGGCATGTGCACGTGCATTCACCCATCCACGCTTTGGGCAATCAGCACCAAACACGTTAACCATCACTGGCATAGATGGTTATTTATTGAGATATACGGATGGAGGAGATGATGGAGACAACACAGAAGGTGCAGCTATAGATACGGAACGGTTGTTGAAGCTGGCTCGGTGGAAGGATGGAAAAACTTCAAATATGGATTTTCTATCACCACTTTACTAAGTATCCCTTTGGCTCTCCTCTTGTCTGCCTTCTGCATTTTTATTTATTTATTTATTTTTTTGAGTGCACGAGGGCTCAAAAATAGCGCATCCCATGATCGCAGAAGAAAATTCCATATGCGATGTTGCAAGCCATCCAGCTTCGGTTCCAGCTTCCAAAGATAAAATTAACCCAGGAAATACAAACAGGCCTTGAAAGGCTGCAGCACAATTTTTTCCCCCTTATGTTCGCTAGAAAGTTTTGTTTTTTTTTTTTATTTAAAAAAAAGAAAGCTCAACTGCCAGGGAGTCGCAAAAAAACAACAACACCTGGGGAATTCCACTTTATCTGTCACGCAACCTTCAGAATTGGATATGGTTTGGAAAATGGCGTCCTTTGGATTTGTTGGATAAGCCTCCGATAAAAGCCATTGTTTTCAAGATTCTATCCGCAGAGCGACCTTGACATGGTACTAGATTAAATCAGTCTTTCTCTTCCAAAGAGAGAGAGAGAGAGAGAGAGAGAGAGAGAGAGAGAGAGAGAGAGAGAGAGAGAGAGAGAGATTGTGAAATATAAAATGATTTATTTAGAAGGGATTTATATAGAAGGTGAAATGGAAATCTAAATGAAATTGAAATGGAATACGGTATTTGTATTTTAAAAAAGATGACCACATTGTGGTGTAAAGAAAATAATCTTACACTTAATACCAAAAAAACCATTAAAGAACTTATAATTGACTTCAGGAGGAAGAGAGATGTACATTTACCATTGTGCATAAATGGTGAGGAGGTGGAGAGAGTGGGTAGTTTTAAATTTCTGGGCATTTATATCTCGGAGGACCTCTCATGGACTATGAATGCTAAACATGCTTGGGAAGGAAACACAGAAGAGGCTGTACTTCCTGAGAATGCTCAGGAAGATAAATCTATCTCAGCATCTCCTTCTGTCCTATTATCGCAGCACCATTGAGAGTGTCCTGACATACGGCATTCTTGCATGGTATGGGAGCAGCTCTGCAACGGACAAAAAAGCTCTACAGAGAATCATTAAAACTGCCCAGAATATCATCGGGCTCCAGTTACCAGCACTGGACGACATCTTCGAATCTCGCTATTTGAGAAAGTTGCATAACATTCTCAGAGACTCTTCCCATCCTGCTTACAATCTTTTTGGACTGTTGCCTTCTGGCAGAAGATACAGAACAATTAAAACTCGGACCACACGTTTTCTGAATCGTTTTTATCCCAGAGCTATAATTGCACCCCACAATGAACTAAAGGGCCACCATCAGTCAGCTGTTGGACAGCATGACTTGGTCTGTTGTGTGGATGTTTGGGTGGTTTAGGGGTGAGGAATTTGTGGTGGGTGGGAGGGTGTTTGGGGATTGTTATGTGTGTTGGACTGGTCTTTGGGTGTTACGTGAATTTCGTTGTATGGGTATACTGTGTATACACGTACAATGACAATAAAGTTATGATGATGATGATGTGGAAAACAAAATTGAAGAAATGTATTGTTAAAATGGTAAAATGATGAATAAGGAAATATGACATGATAATCTGGTCCACCTTTAGAAAACAATGATTAGGATATAAATGTGAAATATTAAAAGGATTTTGTATAATTTAAAGGGTTTCAATAAAATAAAGAAATACTGAAAAATATATGTGATAAAAGGGAGAAATAAAAGAATGAAATGAAATAAGATTTAAGATTAGGAGGTTAGGGCGGGTGGCAATATTGATTATATGTTAAATATAAAAAATAGAGATGAAAAAGGGAAAAGTAGAAAAGGAAAACTGAAGGCAGAAGGCAGAAATATATAAATTAAATTTGGGGAAAATAAGCTGTATGAATTTTGACTCGGTCAATACTCTATTCAGGAAAAAAATGTATTGTCATGTTTGACTGTTTTAAAAAATAAAAAACTTTTACAAAAAGAAAAAATCTGGGCTAGAAGAAAACGTCGCCGTAAATGCCAATCTTTGTCTCTTTTTCTTTCTTCATTAAATAAGTAATTTTAATTGCCAAATGATTGCCAGATTGGAAAGAATTCTGGGATTTTTGCAAGAATGCCTGCTTAGCGATATATCTATCAGTTCCCCTGGGTTTATGCTAACTTTTGGTCACCCCTGAAGCTCCAGAAAAGACCACAGCTGGATCTGAAATTAATGTTCTCGTTCGCATCTGAAGAACTCAACTTCTTTTTTGGAAGACGGAAACCTATTTCGATGTGCAACAGGGAGGATTTTGTTTTCTTGGAGCTCCACGATTTAAAGGTGGGGTATTTGAGATACACATTTTCCATTTCTCCATCCAGCCGATCGGTTCCAGGCTGTTTTTAACAGACCCTTGTGCCATGTTTTACAAGATTACTTACAAAGTACCAGCCGATTCCTAGAACTGTAACCTGTTCAACAGTGCCATCTAGTGAATACGAAATGCGCAACTGCAAATGGTCCTCAACGTACGACCACAATTGAGCCCGGGGTTTATGTTGCTGAGTGAGAAATTTCTCAGGTGACTGCGCAGCACAGCACCTGTCATAAATACAAATCAGTGGCCAAGCATCTGAATTTTGATCAGGTTTAAAGGTAAAGGTTCCCCTCGTACATATGTGCTAGTCGTTCCCAATTCTAGGGGGCGGTACTCATCTCCGTTTCAAAGCCGAAGAGCCAGCGCTGTCCGAAGACATCTCCCTGGTTATGTAGCTGGCATGACTCAACACCAAAGGTGCACAGAACGCTCTTACCTTCCCACCAAAGGTGGTCCCTATTTTTCTACTTGCATTTTTTTTACCTGCTTTCAAACTGCTAGGTTGGCAGAAGCTGGGACAAGGAACGGGAGCTCACCCCGTTACGCGGCACTAGGGATTCGAACCGCCGAACTGCCGACCTTTCGATCGACAAGCTCAGCGTTTTAGCCACTGAGTCACCTTGATCAGGTAACCTTGGGCAAATAAGGCACGTTTTTCAGTGTCATCCTAACTTTGAGCGGTCACTAAACGGACTGTTGTTAAGTCAAGGACTGCTTCTTCGTTTCAGTAAGATCCCAAGACAAGATGTGATTTTGTCACATCCATCAATCTTTCCTCCTCCCGTTCATGGTGAATTAGACTTACCCATAATGAAATTTCCTCCTCAGTTTTAAGTGCAGGCAATTAAACAGCAGTGAGATGACGTAGCACATCTCTCAGAAGTGGTTTTTCTGAAAAAGACAATGAAGAGGCGACACAGAGCTGTCATTTTCTCTCCTTGGATTGCAAAGGCAGAACCACGATCGCTCCCAGCAAAGTGAAAACCACGTTTTTCATAACTTCCAGCTTTATGATCGTAAATTGTATGATCACGATTTATCACTTGTTGCTTGTATGTACAATGAGAGCTTATGCACCGGAGACAAATTCCTTGTGTGTCCATACTTGGCCTACTATTCTAGTTCTATTATTTCTAGTTTTAGTTCTATTCCTATTCCTTTTATTTTTATTTTTGTAAATTTTAATTCGTAAACGTTTTTGAAAAACAGTGCATTGTCAGAGCATCATTTACTAATAGAAGAAAACCAACGAGAGTTGGTAGTAAATCTCAGCACACAAACTAATAGCAATAGTAATAATATAATAGCAATAATAATAATAGTAATAATAATAGTTGTATTCCTATTCCTATTCTATTCTACTCTATTCCTACTCTACTCTACTCTACTCTATACTACTCTACTCCTACTCTATTCTATTCTACTCTATTCCTACTCTACTCTATTCTACTTTCCTATTCCTATTCCTATTCCTATTCTATTCTACTCTATTCCTACTCTATTCTACTCTATACTACTCTACTCCTACTCTACTCTATTCTACTCTACTCTATTCCTACTCTACTCTATTCTTTCTTATTCATATTCTATTCTACTCTACTCTATTCTATTCTACTCTATTCTACTCTACTCTAATCATACTCTATTCCTACTCTATTCTTTTCTATTCCTACTCTACTCTACTCTACTCTACCCTATTCCTATTCTAGAAATTAGTAATTGGACTTGATCTGAACCACAGGTCTATTAATTAAATTCAAGATACACAATTAACATAACTGATTATTGCTGAACTTCAGTCTTTGATACGATTGCTTGCCTGCTTCTGCAAGGAAGATTTGCTCTCTAGCAACCCTAGAAGAGGAAAATTACTTTTAGAGGGTTTTGTCCTCCCTCTCCCTCTCCCCCCCACCCCGCAGGGTTATCTGGGATAACAATACTACTATGTAGGGTTTTTGGAGACAGGCGGGCAGCTATAAATGGCACTGAAAAGACAACAACATCCATTGTGAGGCTCCCTAGAGGACAGATATCTGCTTGTCCCCAAAATATTCTGTAAACCATTGTATGCTCCATAAACTATTGTATGCATGGCTTATGTGTTTGTTTGTTTTTTAAAACTGGCTCTTAAAAAAAAACAAACCAGACACATTTGCAGAAAGAACATGGCGGCTATAAGGTAAAGGTAAAGGTTCCCCTCGCACATACGTGCTAGTCGTTCCTGACTCTAGGGGGCGGTGCTCATCTCCGTTTCAAAGCCGAAGAGCCAGCGCTGTCCGAAGACGTCTCCGTGGTCATGTGGCCAGCATGACTCAACGCCAAAGGCACACGGAACGCTGTTCCCTTCCCACCAAAGGTGGTCCCTATTTTTTCTACTTGCATTTTTTACGTGCTTTCAAACTGCTAGGTTGGCAGAAGTTGGGACAGGTAATGGGAGCTCACCACGTTACGCGGCACTAAGGATTCGAACCGCTGAACCTCCGACCTTTCGATGGACAAGCTCAGCGTCTTAGCCACTGAGCCACCGTGTCCCAAATGGTGGCTATAACATCTCTTATATATTTGGGCAAACGGGCACCCTGCAAAGAGCTTATCTTATAAAGCAGCAGCAAGAAAAATATATATATGTCTACTGTTAGAAGCCACTCTCCGGTTCAGTTTAAATACTTCCTTCTTAATTCTCAAAGGCAGATCGAGTAATATTCACTGTGGGCACTTTAGTGGAGGGGAGAAAAAAATATATTTGCATAGATTTGCCATCTTCTTCAATGGCAGGGAGTCCTCGACTTACGACCACAATTGAGCCCAACATTTCCGTTGCTAAGTGAAACGTCTGTTAAGCTGTTGGGATGCTGCAACGGTCATTAAGTGTGAAAACTGGTCCTAAGTCACTTTTTTTTGTTCCCGTTGTAAATTTATTTTATTTTTATTTATATTTATATGCCACCCTTCTCTGGAGACTTAGGGCGGCTTACAATGTGCTCAGCAATAGCCTTCATACTTTTGTATATTTTTTATACAAAGTCAGCTTATTGCCCCCACAATCTGGGTCTCCTCATTTTACCTACCTTAGAAAGGATGGAAGGCTGAGTCAACCTTGAGCCTGGTGAGAATTGAACTCGCAGTAATTGCAGGCAGCTGGAAGCTAAATACTACCTTTAACAGTAGCATTAGTCTGCTGCGCCACTCAGGCGCAAATTTGAATGGTCACTAAACGGAGCTGTTGTAAGTTGAGGACTTCCTGTATTTATTAAAGGCGGGCTAATTCTCACTCTCCTAAGAACGAAGGCAGGGGTGAAACGCTCCCGGTTCGGACCGGTTCGGTCAAACTGGTAGCAATGGAGGCCGGTGGTTCGGAGAACCAGTAGCGATGGCGGCGCAAGGCTCCGCCCACCCGCCTGTCGTTACTTCCTGGGTTTTTTTACCCTCTGCGCACGCACAGAAGGAAGTGCACGCGGCATGTGCATTTCCGAACCGGTTGGGAAGGTAAGTAGATTTCACCCCTGAACCAAGGCATGAAAACATGCGCAGATATTCACAAACACATTTCAAAACCGTACGCCCTGGACACGTGCAACTATCTACGAAATTTGTTGAGCCTCATTGCGTAATTGGCTTTTCTGCTCCAGACTGTGTGTAGACAAGGAACAGCGTGTAAGTTTTACGCTTGTTTACATCTTGCGGAATCCACACCGGAGACACGATTTCAAAACCCCTCCGATTGTTTTTAGAATGTAAAGCCAAAGAGCAGATTATGCTCAGTCACTAAGGAAGGAATATACACACATACACACACACACACACACACACACACACACACACATATCCATTCCTTATTTTATGTCCCCCCTTTTCCAAATATATCCTAAAGCTGAAAGATAAACCGCAAAGAAAAATTGGTTTAAATTACGTGCCTTTTTTTTTAATCTGAAGTAGATTGCCCAAACAATAGAGGCAGTTGATTATTAATCTGAGTAAACTTTTCCCTCGATCAACCCGTTTCCTGGAAACTGAATTTATTAGAATCCGTGTAAGTACTTTTGCGCTTGGTTTTTAAAAAGAATTCGGTGACAATGTCAATGCCATTGAATGTGGCCCGTTTGGAATTAAAGAAAAAAGGTAAAGGTAAAGGTTCCCCTCGCACATATGTGCTAGTCGTTCCCGACTCTAGGGGGCGGTGCCCATCTCCATTTCTAAGCCGAAGAGCCAGCACTGTCCAAAGACGTCTCTGTGCTCATGTGGCCGGCATGACTCAATGCCAAAGGCGCACGGAACGCTGTTCCCTTCCCACCAAAGGTGGTCCCTATTTTTCTACTTGCATTTTTTTTTAACGTGCTTTCGAACTGCTAGGTTGGCAGAAGCTGAGACAAGTAACAGGAGCTCACCCCATTACGCGGCGCCAGGGATTCGAACCGCCGAACTGCCGACCTTTCTGATCGACAAGCTCAGCATCTTAGCCACTGAGCCACAGCATATACAAATTTAAACTTTCCTTCCCTGCCTCCTTTAATTGCATTATTCTTTAATTTGGACTAACATGAGCAAGACCTAGGAAATTTAGGACGCATACCCAGTTCCTGCAACGGTTCTTCTTTGTATGTTTTAGTCTCCATCTAAATGAGACTCCATTTAGTCTCATCATCCTTGTTGCTCTTTCTCTGCATTCTTTCCCTTCATTCTTTCTAGAGTCTCAATTAAAAAAAGATGATGTGACTTTGGAAAAAGTGCAGAGAAGAGCAACAAGGATGATTAGGGGACTGGAGGCTATAACATATGAAGAACGGTTGCAGGAACTGGATATGCCTAGTTTAATGAAAAGAAGGATTGGGGGAGACATGATAGCAGTCTTCCAATATTTGAGGGGCTGCCACAAAGAAGAGGGGAGTCAACCTATTCTCCAAAGCACCTGAAAGCAGGACAAGAAGCAATGGGTGGAAACTAATCAAGGAAGAGAAGCAACCTGGAATTTAGAAGAAATTTCCTAACAGTGAGAACAATTAATCGGTGGAACAACTTGCCTCCAGAAGTTGTGGGTGCTCCATCACTGGACATTTTTAAGAAGAAATTGGACAACCATTTGTCTGAAATGGTATAGGGTCTCCTGCTCGGGCAGGGGGTTGGACTAGAAGACCTCCAAGGCCCCTTCCAACTCTTGTTATTCTATGATCTATGTTCTAACTGAAGGACAAGCCTTTCTGAACCAGTTCAAAGTCACACACGCAGAAGTGATACACCTATCCTTTTAAATTACTTCTACAGCACATTAATCAACTACTCATTTTACAGGGAATCAAACTACAGCAACATCTGGCCAAGGTTTTCCCACCTCAAAAACCACCTAGCCCAATATCATCTGTAATGGCAGAGCATTGAACTAAATTTTCCAACCGCGTTATTAATTTTGCTAAAAACTGGACCGTATCCGGATCAAATTCCCTGCTCTCATGCTCCCGTCTCCTCCCCTACTTAAGCTAAACAACTGATAATTGGCAAACCAGTTTTCACAATCGTTAATTTTGGCAATCGAAGCCAGAATCACATTGCGAACCATCTGCTTAGGAAGCTGCTGAAAAGTCGTAGGAAAAAATGCAATCCAGGTTGGAGATATTCCCCCACCCCAGAAAAATAGAACATCGCGTTTGTTCCCTTAATACGTTTTTAGCTAACTGCACGTTGCAAATTCTGTGCAAATGAACAGGACCGAACGCACTCTATGAGCTACCTTAATTTTCCTTGTAAACCGGCACCGTTCCCCGTTTATCTGTAAAGTAATTGAGCGGATCTTATTTACCAGGAAATTCCACAAGAAAAAAAATAAATAACATTTCCCGAATCCTGGGTGAATCCTTCGCAATCTTCAGATCGGTTGGGAATAACTCGCGGGGGCCGGCATCTTTACAAAAACGTAGGCTCTTAAAACGCCGGGATTAAATACGGACCGTTCCGGAACTGGAAATAATCTATAAAGTTTGGTTGTACATGCTTCGAGTTTGTTGTGACACCCATATTGAGCAAGGCCTGGTTACCGTAAATTACAGGTAAGAGCGAAAAGCTCTTTGCGGCAGGCACAATCACCCATGACGTTTCTACTAATAGTAACTACAAGCTGTTGCTACATCCAGCGTTGTCATGGTCATTCCTAAGCAGTCATTCATAATAAACAAAGTGAGGCATACGGATGCTGCTCTGAAGGAGACCATTTGCAAAAGCAAGCAAGAGAAATAACTATTACGAAAGCTTCACATGAAGATCTGCCTTCTTTAAATCTTGGGAAGAGATACAAGGTGGGTGACTTTACAACTATTTGTCCATATATTTGTTTAAATGGAAATAGAGCCCTGCCCCCAACTTGTGGCTTTAGGTTTGTTCCAGCATATACCATTAAAGGGTACTGCTATAACTCTGATGGTGTTACCTGGTTGGGTAATGAAAGGTCTACAAGAAAATCACCAAGCTCAGAGTCCTTCGTCTCCTCTTCTTTCTCCTCCCCTTCCTCTTCTTTCTCCACAAACCTTACTCCCTTCTAGCACTGATGATGTTCTCTAGTTGGGTAATGAAACGTCTGCAAGAAACCCAAGCTCAGAGTCCTCATTCTCCTCTTCTTTCTCCACAAACCTTACTCCCTTCTAGCACTGATGATGTTCTCTAGTTGGGTAATGAAACGTCTGCAAGAAACCCAAGCTCAGAGTCCTCCGTCTCCTCTTCTTTCTCCTCCCCTTCCTCTTCTTTCTCCACAAACCTTACTCCCTTCTAGCACTGATTATGTTCTCTAGTTGGGTAATGAAACGTCTGCAAGAAAACCAAGCTCAAGAGTCCTCATTCTCCTCTTTCTTCTCCACAAACCTTACTCCCTTCTAGCACTGATGATGTTCTCTAGTTGGGTAATGAAATGTCTGCAAGAAACCCAAGCTCAGAGTCCTCATTCTCCTCTTCTTTCTCCACAAACCTTACTCCCTTCTAGCACTGATGATGTTCTCTAGTTGGGTAATGAAACGTCTGCAAGAAACCCAAGCTCAGAGTCCTCATTCTCCTCTTCTTTCTCCACAAACCTTACTCCCTTCTAACACTATGATGTTCTCTAGTTGGGTAATGAAACGTCTACAAGAAAACAACCAAGCTCGGAGAACACCAGGGACCCCACAATTTCACAAAGGGCTAGAAATTTCCCAAGAACGAAAATTTATGCCTTCCTTGGGCATTGTTTCAACTAGCTTTTGAGACTACCAGGGATTAGGATACGA